AAGAGGGACGGTGGGCACGTGGATTTGGAGTTGTTAGAGCTTTTAATGGCATTATTGATGGGATGATATTTATTTATCGTAAACTCTGTTAGTGTTATATACTGAAAGCTTGACTTTGCATATTATTACACATTTTCCCTTTATCGATGAGAATCATGTTAGATTAAACAAATTCTACGTTCTGTTGTTCTGCACTTAGATAGAGTGGGTCGTCATCGGGCGAACTGAAGATCACTTTATGAGTTACTTGCGAACAAGAATAGTTGTTCACAACATAGATGGACATGAACACCCTATCCGAACGGTTGTAGTGTCAAATGTACAGTTGTCTTGATTGATTAGTTACACTAGTACATTTATGTATTGAACAGGATCCAGAGAGGAGAAGTTCATTTTATACTGATCGTCGTAAATGAACTAGGCATCGGTTAATTACTGCGTTCTCTTAACCCATAAGATATTAAACAGGCATATATATATAGTATATATTACTTTGATTCATTTGGGTGAGATTCAGTTCGCTGGATCAATATTCCTACTGTTTTGGGTTATATTATTATATATAGGATGTGTTGTTAGGATATTTACGGTTACCATGTGCATTAGTTTGATGATGTCCCCGGAGTGAGTTCATGAAGGATTGTTATGCTAAACCCTGCAGGTGGATTAAGTTTCGGCATAATAAGAATGTGATGAACGAGCGCTAGCTTCGGTGAAATAATAATAAATTAATTAATTCTTAATTGTCAGTAATCTAATTAATTAATAGACTTTATATCTTAACATGGGGAGGTAAATCGAGTAATTATTATTGGAGTCTCAAATATAATTTGGGCTAGGAAAAGAGAGTGCAATAATATAATGTTGGTGGCTCATTAATGTTATTTAATTATTAGAGGAGTGTGCTTGGCTCACAGTTAGTCTAATTAATTAAGGAGCCTCATTCCTAATCTCCTAAGGGTCCCTACTGTAGCTATATATATATATATATATATATATAT